AGCCAGCCATTATGATGGTGAAATAAACTTTATGTCAACGCTGCTGACATTGGATGTTCTTGCTTTGACAACTTATGAAGATGCAGCCTTTTTCTTTCTTACGCTTTACTTTTAGAATTAGATAATGATGTGGGAGGAGGCGGAATGTGGTGGGAATTAGTTAGACATAACAATATGTCTGACTAATGTGAATTAGTGTGAATTCAGAGTGTGTGAATTCAGAGCTTCAAATAAGAAATGTTAAGAATTGGCTTTAGAGAACAGGAGGGAAAGCCTGCAATTCAAACTAATTGGAGAATGTGATTTATGACAGTTAATTGGAAGAGGGAATTGTGCTTTGATACTATGTGCTCAGGGGAGGGGAATTCAGATTTCGGCTTCGACCATGTATGTGCCGATGCCATGCAACTTGGATAAAGATTATTTAAAGTAAACAATGCCTTGAAGTTCTTTGAAGAGTTTCATCTGTCGGAACCATGACATTTTATTACTATCTGTCATTGCAATCAGGACTTTTGAATAATGCTACAAATCACCAATAAGGAAATGGCTCTTTTGGTATCCTTCCTTCCTTGCTTCCTTCCTGATCTCACATTTCATTCATTCCTGCAACCACAAACTTGTAAGGAAGGATATTCCTTCAGGGAGTTTTGTGGCTGAGGCTGAATTAGAAGCTGCTCTCTTCACTCCTGTGCCATTTTTTGAATTGATTATTTGGCATCAACTTGGCACTGGCTCTTTGTGACTTAGGTAGATCTTCTGCAGGATGATCTGTGCCCAAACTGGTCTTTTGGGTCTTCCAATGATGCACACATTGAGAATAATAGAAGGGTTGGAAGGGAGCTTGGGAGCCTTCTAGTCAGTGAGTCCAACCCCCTGCTCAAACAAGGGATCCTATAATATTTCAGACAAATGGTTGTCCAATCTCTTTTTAAAAATCTCCAGTGATGGAGCACCCTACCTGACCACTAGCATAGAGAGTAAAGAAGAAAGCCTTGACAGAAATAAGCCAGATCAGTTCACAGAATCTAGGAAAAACAAGGCAAAAAGCATGACTCAATCCCCAAACAATCTGATGGCAGGGGGAAATGACTCAGATATCTCCTGAATTTCACAGGAGTATTATGTGTGTGTGTGGGGGGGGGGAGAGGCAGTAAAGCACAATCAGACTTGCAAGATTATAGTCAATATAATAAAGTAGTTTGCAGTTAGTTTCTTGGTCTGGTGTTCATAGCGACTCCAACATCAGTCTTGAAAATCTGATTGTCAAGTTGGTGTTGTCTTCTAGCAAACACATACAGTATCTAGACCAGTGGTTCTCAACCTGTGGGTCAGGACCCCATTTGGGGTCGAACAACCATTTCACGGGGGTTGCCAAACAACGCAGTCTGCCATTCCCCCCCCCCTTTTCCTTAGCTGTGCTACTCCCTTTTATTCTATTGCCTTTTGAAAGCCAATAGAATAGAATCTCTTGAATAGAGTCTAATTCTATTGGCTTTCAAAAGCCAATAGGAATTGTCCAGGCTGTCTCTGCCCTGCTGAGCCTGCCAAAAGTCCCATTCTGCAAAGGGTGCTGCACCAGTTGAGTAGTCCTCAACGTACAACCGGTTGAGTAGTCCTCGACTTACGACCGGTTGGGGGTCGCGGCATTAAAAAGGTTGAGAACCAGTGATCTAGACCTTCTCTAGGACGATCTCTTTCCATCCAGACATTCTAGAATAGAATAGAATAGAATAGAATAATAACTTTATTGTCCCTTTGAATATACACTAATTGGCAAGCATTAAAATGAAATTTCATTGCATGCAGCTCTCAAAGGGTCACCACCTCCAATATACATAAATATGACAAAAATAAATAAATAAATAAATAAATAAATATGCATATACCCACATATATTATATGACACAGAGAGACAACACTGTCTAGTTTGGATTATGTATACATGTGCATGGCAAGATTCACGAATCTTGTGAGTTTACTAGATGGATGACATAGGGAACAAAGCTGTTACAGAATCAGGTAGTCTTGCTAGAAATATTTCAAAACCTCCTCTCAGAGGGGAGCAACAGAAACAGACCGTAAAGTGGGTGTGTGGGGTCTGTAACAATGCTTTGAGCGCTAAGCACATAGCGCTTATAAGCAGTGTCCTGGATACCAGGGAGTGAGCTTCCTATGATCTTCTTGGCTGTCCTTATCAATCTCTGTATGGACTTTCTATTTGAGGCACTGCAGCCACCAAACCAGCGATGCAGTTTGTTAAAATGCTCTCAGTTGTGCCTCTGTAAAAAAAAATGGCTAGGACAGAAGGAAAGAGATGTTCTTCTGGTGCTCCAACACTGCACTCTGTTATTGTCCATTCACTCTGCTGGTATTCATCTTCTTCTCTTCCCTTCTGGTGACCTCGTGTTTCAGGTCACAACATTTTCATTTTGTCATCTGATCCATGTCACAACCACGAAGGAAGAAAATTGATTCACCTGCCCCAGGACTATACAATGATTTCACTGGTGTGTGGCCCTCATGTAGGGACAGCACCAGACTTGTGGGGAAGTACTCTGAATTTTTAATCTCTAAGTATCTTCAGTGCTGTGGATCCTATTCCAGAACACTTGAATCTTTAAAGTGCAATACCCAGAGGTGAACATCTGCCTAACACGAGATAGAGCAAATACTTTCCGTGAATTGAAAATGATACTTCTGTTGATGCAGTCTGCTGACTCATACTTAGTTTACAATCAACAAACCAATTATCTTTATTCACAAGTTATCTTGCCAAACCAATAATTCTCTTTCAAGCAGGAGGAATCTGAAGTCACACTATGCCCACAGAGATCGTAACAGAATAGAAAGGGATCTTGGAGGTCTTCTAGTCCAACCCCCTGCTCAAGCAGGAGACCCTGTGCCATTTCAGACAAATAGCTGTCCAATCTTTTCGTAAAAACCTCCAGTGATGGAGCACCTACAACTTCTGAAGGCAAGCTGTTCCACTGATTGTTCTCACTGAAAGATGGGTTCTCCTCATTAGTTTCATTCCATTACTTCTTGTTCTAATATGGATTCATTATGTAACAAAATGATAAATGGTGCCTGAGATTTTGGATCCCAAAGTTAATGCTTAAGATAAATAGTAGTATCTAAGTAAGTTCCTCACACAAACAAAATAAGGATTGTGAGATCAATCCATGTTGTGCCTTCTTTGGGGGTGGCTTTTTTTTCTTACCAAGTTTCACTTTCTGAAATGTATAGTAGTATAACATGTAAGGATGGTTTAACGGTTTATTTATGTGGGGTCAGAGAGATATCACCCTACTGTCAGGTAATACATTAATTAATATACTGTAGTTTATACGGTCTATTGACGGTACCCTGAGAAACTATATACAGAAGTTTCCCCACTGATGCTACATAGTTGAGCCATTTGCTTTCTACGCACCAATATCTTTAGTGATGAGTAAATCAGAAGCAGCTAAGTTGGATCATATTGGAGTCACTGACCAGTGAATAATCAGTGCTAAGTCTTTCCCAGATTGATTTCCTTCCTTTTCCTCTAGGTAGGAAAAGTCTGCTCTAAATTGTAATGTTTCTCCTTTTTATTGCTCACTTCCTCATCCAAATCTTCAACGCATATTGGCTATTTTGTTGGCACATCTACTGGCACAAAGATAGTACTACTATTTCCATGCATTTAAATGTGCTTTTGTACCTCTATATTTCCATGTTGTCCTGTGTAGCTTAGCTGCCTTCATAAACCTCATATATTGAAGTAAAGGGTACAATATAGTGAAGTAAAAGATACAATTTAAACCTCTGTGATGCTACTGAAATATTGAGGTTGTAGTAATTGAAAATCAAATTAGAATATGGTAATATAAATAGAATAGCAGAGTTGGAAAGGACTGTGGAGGTCTTTTAGTTCAACTTCTGCTCACACAGGAGACCCTATACCAGGGGTAGGCAACCTTGGCTCTTTTATGACTCGTGGACTTCAATTCCCAGAATTCCTGAGCCAGCCATGCTGAGGGGAAAGAGAGGGGTTTCTAAGCTGAGCCATGCTGGCTCAGGAATTCTGGGAGTTGAAGTCCACAAGTCATAAAAGAGCCAAGGTTGCCTACCCCTGCCCTATACCATTCCGGGCAAATGGCTGTCCAGTCTCTTCAACTTCTGGAGGCAAGCTGTTCCATTAGTTTATTGTTCTCACTGTCAGAAATTTCTCCTTAGTTCTGGATTTCTCCTTGATAAGTTTCCACCCATTACTTCTTGTCCTGCCTTCAAGTGCTTTGGAGAATAGGTTGTTTCCCTCTTCTTTGTGGCAGCCTCTCAAATATTGGAAGACTACTATCATGTCACCCCTAGTTCTTCTCTTCATTAGACTAGACATACCCAGTTCCTGATCATTATGTTTTAGTCTCCAGACCCCCTAATCATCTTTGTTGCTCTTCTCTGCCTTCTTTCTAGAGTCTCAGCATCTTTGGTTTTTTTTTTATTCTTTGTTTACTTATAGTGCCATCATGTGGTCTCTGTGAAGTCTCATGCTGCATTATTTCAGTTTATTCACTAATTGGAACAAGTTATACCTGATCAAAACGCCATATGTAAAAAAGCAGCAAACTCCATTCCTTTATATCAAAACGCTGACCATTTTACCTAGAGTGGTAATAAAATGTTTGCAGAAAGAAAACCAAGTTTGGCAAAGAACCAAAATCCCAATAGATTGTTCTTTAATTATAACAGAATATGGTTTCTGTTTTGACGCGTAAGCTTGAAACATTAATCAGTCCTGTTCTATCTTGTGGCCCTTGAGGGATGTCTTTTTCTGCCCAGTCTTTTTTGAAATGGAGATGTCAGCAGTTCAATCTCTGAGTTTCTGCATATACAATTTAAAAGCAGCAAAAGTGTTTGAGCTCTTAAAACAGGAAACAAAATATAACTCAGTAATTTTTTGTCTATATCACACTATGTTTTATTTTTTCAAACATAAGTTTTATAATAAGCCACAATGGACTAGAATTTACACACACACACAAATCTACCAAAGTATGTTATGAGTGAATCCATTATGAGTGAATCCTGTCCATAACAAAAAATAGTTAAAAATACTGAAAAAATTATTGCACTATTTGCAACACCATCAGGTAAATGGGAAAGATTTACAAAAAACAAGTGAACCATAAAATATTTTTCCATTTATTCATAAAGAAATCAAGAGAAGTGACAAAAACATTTTTCCATTTATTTATAAAGAAATTAAGAGAAGTAACAAATTCAAATTGATTCTCTTTTTAAACAATACAAATAGGTGAGCTTTAGTATTATTTAAAAAAGAATCAATTTGACTTTGTCACTTCTCTTAAGCTCACCTATTTTGTAACACTGATAACTCAGAGAGTAGTTTGGAGGGATACAAGATACTATTACTGTATATTTTAAAAGGTAAAAAAACTGCCTCAATCTCATCAGAACCTAACCTGCAAAACCCCCATTTTAAACAACTTTGAATTCATAAGAGAGAGAAAGGCAGCAAAATATCTTAATATTGTTTAAGATTCTCCTAATACACAAAAATTTTAAAGTAAATAGCGGTAGCACTAATAGACTAAGATCAAACTAAATTTGATGTTAATGGTTTGAAAGGGACAGCAAACACAGTTCATTTTTCAACATATATGTGTTTCCTTTCCTTTTTTTAAAAAAAAACAGAATTGAGATCCGAGCAAGAAGGGAAATTTAGCTACCTTGCTTAGGATGAGAGCATAGCAATTCTTTACCTAAGCTAAAAACAAGTGATTTTGTTAAGAGACAAATATTTTCATCAGAACCACGGTAAGGAGAAAAGGATCACCCCCCCTCTCTGCGCAATTCTCTACTTTCATAAAATGTGATACACTAGAGAATGACAAAATGAGGTATTTGTATAAGGCTGCATGACTGGACAGGTTTGAATTCAAAGCATAAAAGAACATGAGATGAACAAAGTCTATGCTGTAAAAATGACTACAAAAAGCTTTGATTGTGATGTATGCTTATCAATCCACTAGAAGCTTTATTTGATCTGTAGCTCTCCTAGATCTCCTCAAATACTCTAACTGGCATTAGTTCATTCTTAAAAAACTAGATTGTTCTCTTGAAGAGCCATCATGTTCAGTGCTACTCTAGGATATGAGGCTCTGAACTGGAGACTCTGAATTCTCAGGATGCATACCAATGGCTATGCTGTTGAAGAAACAAAATGCTTTTATCTCAGTCCTATCTTCAACAGAGAACTAGAGGGGGTCATTACTTTTCAACCTAACTAGTCACCATCTCTTGTCCAGTGGTGGGGATCAGATCTCCCTTCTTTAGATAAGAGGCAATCTCTTTTTCTTTTCTGCTTCATGCTTGCTGATCTGTGGAAATGATAAAAATACATTAACGCAATGCTTTGTTGCTATTGCACAATAAAAAAAAAACAGCTTGCAATTGCTCTATACCCAACCAGGATGAATATCAATTCAATCTAGTATTGTCTACTCTGCTAATGCCTCTAGTCCTCAGGGAAGTGCTTTCTCCTTTATTTGCTACCTGTTCCTTTAATTGGAAATACCTACCTGTAGTAGTTAAATCTGGGATTTCCTATATGCAAAACACTGATTCTGCTAAGAAGCTATATTTATCTCCACCCATAGGGACAAATTTTCATACATCGCTGTATTAGGATTATGCATTTTCTGATTCTGCACAAAGATGACAATATTGTCAGTTTTAGATGCTGAAAAACTTTTATTTCTTAAGAAGTCCAAATGGGGTGTTTGCTTAAAATAAAATTTGAGTTCTTATGGCAGTGTTCTCAACCTTGGCAAATTGAAGATGTGTGGTTTTCATTTCCCAGAATTCCAGCTGTTTGGGGGGGGTTGAAGTTCAAGTTGTGAAGGTTGATAAAAATTGTCTTATGGAGCAGAATAAAAATGAAGACACCAAGTCGGCAACACCAATCTAATTTCGGAGACGGCAGCAGGGATTGCCAGCAGAAGGAGGAAGATCTTTGGTGACAGTGTTTTTGGCTTTTTTGGCAAACTAAATTTTGTTATGTAAACTATGTGAACACATGCAAATTAGCTTAATGTGAACTTTCTGTGCAAGTTACAAGAAAGGAGGAATATACTAGCCCAGGGGTAGGCAACCTTGGCTCTTTTATGACTTGTGGACTTCAATTCCCAGAATTCCTGAGCCAGCATGGCTCAGCTTGGAAACCTCTCCCTTTCCCCTCAGCATGGCTGGCTCAGGAATTCTGGGAGTTGAAGTCCACGAGTCATAAAAGAGCCAAGGTTGCCTACCCCTGTACTAGCCACTTCCCAATCCTTTCATAATGTGACCTGATTGCTGCATTTTCATGTTTTTAAGTTCAACACATTTCCTCATGTTGTAAGGAAGTTCCAATCTTGTTAAAAATCTCTCCCACTGATGTGTAACCTCCCAGCTGCTTTCATCCTGTTGGAGATCCAATCCATTAGGCAGAGCATAGAAAAAAATATAAAATCTTAGTCCACCTTTCTGCCTGCTGCACACAATTTGCTAATGGAAAGTCACTTCCTTCTGCTTCCTTCCAAGACATACCTTTTCGGAGATGCTCTTTGATCTCCTCACAGTAAGATGTAGTGAAGTAGGGACTAGACTTTGCTTATCTCTATAATATATTCCTTATAAATAGAGCCCCTCTTTGTTATTGTTATAAAATTTGCTTCGCTAATTGTTACATGAATATAAGGAATCATTTAATCTCTAGCAAGCATGCAGAAAGTGACCAAAAATGCTCAGGAAATATTTCCTTATGCTTCTACTCCTTCCAAGAGTGAATCTGAATTCAGTTTTGGAAGCAAAATCTACCTTTGCATGAGGCTGGCCAGGCAAGCTTCTTAACTTTCCCCTATGGTATAATTTATAATCCTTTACCATGTGTGTTGTTAAAAAAGTAAGAAAGCCTAATGATATAAATGTAAATCAGTTCTTTAAAAATGTAGGCAAATAGCTGGTATCTGACACAATGTGGGGAGGGAGAAAGATGAGTGGTATATAAATTTAAGAAACAAACAAACAGGCAGACAGATAATTGTCAGAATCAGTGACACTGCATCTATTTAAAAACAGCAAAGATCAAAGAAGGTCGATTGCAATTCATGACACAAAAAGAACTTTTCTGTATATTTGTATAAATAAACAAGGAATTCTTCCATCTGTCTACAAATAAAGACTGAATATTGACAACTATATCCATGCTTTTGTTCTTCAGCTCTATTTCTCCCCAAAATAAGATTCCCATTTTCTACCTACTGTGATTCACCGTGAAGGGGTCACTTGTTCCTTTCAACTCCTGGATAATTTCCTGAAGGAGGTCAAATCTGAGGAAACACGAATAAACCCATTTTAAATATAATGTCAAGAAGTATGATTTCAAAATAAGGAAATGTAAGGCAGAATAAAACTTAGGGATATATTTAGTCTTCAAAGCATAGATGCTAACTAATCAAATGAGAAGGAGGTAGTCCTGCAGGACTCCTAGTTAGGTACTATTTGGAATTTTTACTGATGCTAAAGATGCAGAAAATGAGAAATAAAAAAATTCCAGATTCTGAGAGCAGATTTCTTTTTCCTGAAAAAGAGGAAGGGGTGGAAAAGAAAGTCAAAATAACTCTATCTTCATTTTGTTTGATAAAAGATGGAGCAGGGAGAAATTGCGATGGGCTTTTAAGATTCTGTTCTACCTAATAAAGAGCATTCATAGAACCCCTTCTGGGCTTTCTTGCTTACCTCAAAGGGTTGACATTTATTAACAATTTCTGTGTGGCAAGAGGTTTCAGGGATTACAGTAACAGTCAAAGATTCAGTGTCTTCAAACAGAAGACAATGTTCTTATAATGTAGTGCCAACTGACATAATTACAGACGGAGCTTAAGAGATTTACAATAATAACATCTCATTAAATTCCTCACAATTTCAAGCAGAATTCAACATGCCTATGCAGACAACAAACACAGCTCTCTGCCTTCTATATAATCCTTCTATATAATCCCATTTCCTTCTATACATACATTTCATTTTTTCCTTGCTCTTTGTCACAATATAATAATAATAATAATAATAATAATAATAATAATAATAATAATAATAAAAAGTTGGAAGGGACCTTGGAGGTCATCTAGTCCAACCCCCTGCTCAGCCAGGAAACCTATACCATTTCGGACAAATGGCTGTCCAGACTCTTCTTAAAAACTTCCAGTGTTGGAGCATTCACCGCTTCTGGAGGCAGGTTGTTCCTCTGGTTAATTGTTCTATCTGTCAGGAAGTTTCTCCTTAGTTCTAGGTTACTTCTCTCCTTGATTAGTTTCCATCCATTGCTTCTTGTCCTGCCTTCGGGCGCTTTGGAGAATAGCTTGACTCTCTTTTCTTTGTGGCAGCCCCTGAGATATTGGAACACTGCTATCATGTGCCCCCTCGTTCTTCTCTTCGTTAAACTAGATATACTCAATTCCTGCAACCTGTCCTTATATGTTTGGGGATAACAGTATTTCTTTGGGCATCTACATGGAATTCCTGTCAGAGATGTCCTAAGACTGGGTAACTTAACCTTCAGAGTTAGAGAGTGGAACACACCCAGACCTGTCCCCAAGCCTAGAATAATATAATCTGAAAGCCAGCAGCCAATCCTTTTTACAAGACAGGAAAATGTGACTGTGACATCTGCTACTTACCTTTCTGTGTTACAAAAAGGCCTTTCTGTGTGGCTATCCAACCTCGGATATATCTCTGGTAAGACAGGATTTTGCTGCAGACAAGTAGGAGGTTAGTACCACCAAACAATATAGTAAAAGCATTTTCTGTTTTGTTTTATTTTACTTAAAAGTACCTGTTGCTCTCTTCTGGCTTGAGCTGATAAATCAATAAGGTTTTGCAGGGAGTGGTTCTGGATGCTATTTTTGCACTTCTCTGAGTGGAGACAGATGCAGGTTAATAGCAATCTAAAGGATGTTAGTTACAGGTAGTCCTCAACTTATGACCGTAATTGAGCCCAGAAGTCATACCAGTTGTTAAGGAAGTCACTGCATGACCAACCAGATTTTACAACATTTTTTGAAGCAGCCATTGAGCGAATCACCATCGTTGTTAAAGATTGTGTATAATGGTTGTTTTTTTTTTTTTTTGCCAGAAACTGGAAGTAAAAGCTGGCTTCCAGGCAAAAAAAGTTATAAATCATGGTCATGTGATCACAGTATGCTGCAAATGGCCACAATTGTGGGTCAATTGCCGAGAGACTAAAATGGTGCTGGGGGAAGTGATAGTTGAATTTTCGAATCCTGTGCACAAATACCTGTTTGGGGTCCACTGTAACTTTGAATGGTTGCTAAGCAACCAGTTATTAAATCGAGAATTATCTGCAGGTAATCTTCGCTTAATCTCCAGAAAAGAATGATGGTAAAAGTTTGCAATGCTGCCTAAGTGGCATAATCATGCCGTGCTTTCTGGAGACACTTTGGCATCAAAAATCCCTTCAAAGTATTTATAGATATTAACTTGTTCAGCCTTATTCTGTTTTATAATCCAAGTTTTCTGACTGTCTCTTTTCCTGGAGGCCAAGATTTTGGATTTTGGAAATAAGCCTGCTTTACTCGCTATGGAGGACGATAAAATTTCACTGCTATTCTAAACCCATCTGAAGTTTGGAATGTAATGGCAGGAAATGTATTTTGATAACTCTGTGTGCACGAAGCTCTAGTACTACAAAAATAGCCTTTCCCTAAAATTATGAGTCAAGATCAATTTCCCCATTACTGATATCTACCTGTTATCTTCTGAGATTCCTTTTCAAAACTTTCCACTTACATAGCAAATCTTCCACAGTTTCTGTGATTTTCTAAAAATATATCTTTTTTGTGACACATCTGTTTTTTATTAGCAAGCTATATTTGGAGGGATTCCTACATTACACGTACAGTACTAAATTGTAGTACAGTCTAGCTATTAGCTAAAAAATCACCTTCTCCAAATAGTATGGACAAATCTACTACATAGATCCCAAAGGAACTGTAATCCCCCCGCTTCCATGAAGTTAATAACTGGGTTGAGACCAGGAAGCAATATTTCTTTATCATGGCTCTCATTTTAAGGATTAGTCTCTGCAATTAGAGTTGAAACTTTGCCATGATCTCAATTGCATTCCAGAAGCCGATTAAGAAGGAACTCTTCCAAACTGATTTTTTAAATATGAGTGTTGTTGTTATTTCTTATTTAACATTTATAATCTAATATTTTTTACAATGTATGTGTTATGCTTTCTAATTGTATGACGTACCCACCAAGAGTCTTTGGACTCTATACTTAGAAGGAAAAACAATAGTAAAGCACAAATGGATTTGGAATGATATAAAATGCTGTGAAGTCTTTTTCTAGATTCCCCCCTCCCCAAGATAACCCTCGTTTCATGCAGTCAACTGCAATTGTGTTTGTATTAGTAGCACTGGTCAAATATAGCAATTTTCTCCCTTTGGACTAGGAGATTGAAATAGGCTTACTTCTCAGGATCTGAAAACATAAAAGACGCATGTAGTAAATTTGTCCTGTGGAAGTTGGAAATTGGCAAAAACATTGGAAAAAGTCTGAAAAAACTTATATGACCATGATGGTTGCTAAAGAAAAGATCCATACAATATCTGTTCAGTAATTTGCATTCAGTGCTGAACAATATCCAGAGAGGCTGTGTAATGCTGGCACACAGATTACAAGGAATAAAATATCTACAGTAACTGGAAAGGGTCAAAGCTCTTACTTTTAATGTACACAAGAAAGCACACCTTCAGTCATTGTTAAATACATTAACAGTTTCCAGTATTAACACTTACCCACCACCACCCGCTTAGATACGGATCTCTCACTATGACCCGTTCGACCTGGTGCCCTTTGATGGGTGACAAATGACTCCAACATATGGATGCCAGATGCAAAACGTTTCTCAAGATTTTCTAAGGATGCTTGGGCCTTTGCCAATAGACAGGCTGAATCCTGTAGGCTGTTCACAAAATTTTCCTCCTGGCTGGCAACACTATTTCCCTAAAGAAGAAGAAAAAAAAAAACTGCGAGAAGAGTCCAGGTGGGGTAACATAGAAGAAGAGACTAGGATTAACTTCAATTTAACAACCATTCAAAGTTATAGCTGCACTGAAAAGTGACTCACGGCTGGTCCTTACACTTATGACCGTCACAGCAACCCCACAATCAGGTGATAAAAATTTGGGCACTTGGCAACCAGCATGTCCTTCTGATGGTTGCAGCATTCCACGGTCATGAGATTGTCATTTGTGACCTTCCCAGCCAGTTTTCAACTAGGAAAGTCAGATTTTGTTTAATGATCATGAAATTTACTTAAAAACCATTGCAAAAAAAAAAGGTCATAAAACCACCTGGCTTAGCGATGGGAAATTCTGGTCCCAGCTGTGGTTGTAAGTTGAGGACTTGTACAGAATTTGATTTGTGGAAAATCCTCCAAAAATGCAGATCAGGGTTGAAAAAAATCTTGTATGTGTGTGTGTGTGTGTGTGTGTGTGTGTGTGTGTGTGTGTGTGTCTGTGTGTGAAGGGCAACACAATCCAGAACTAGGAAAGAAGACAGATACATTTACACTGTGCATACTGAAGCAGCATCATGTTGAAAAGGGAATGAAGGCTTACAGAGCGGAAAACTTTGGATTAAAAGAAATGGTTTACTTGAGAAGTGCTGAAAGGTTTCTTAAAACTGTTGGAGATTTTGATGTGGAGCAGTATGTAAATCCTAGCAGAGCCACAACTTTTAATCATTACATTTATTGATTGGTATGCTTTACAGTCAAATAAAAAGAAATTCACAATCAACACACTGCGTATATGACATTGTGAATCAAAGTGTGAACGTGCTTGTTCATTGCATACAGCCTTCATAGTGAAAAGCTTGCCTGTCTTGTACTATCTGGTACACACACAAACACACACCCATGTTCTGGACTACAATTCCCACAACCGTGCTAACAGGGAAGCATTGTTACTGAAAATATCCAAAGGGTCCTGGACTTAATCAAATAACTTATTTGATTCATTGAATGAGTTCTCATTAATCAATTGAAAACTCTAAAACATTTCCTCCTACAATTTGTATTTGGGGAATGCAACTTTTTAAGATCAAGACTTAAAAAGGCTTCAAGCCTGACCAAGCCATACCAGGTCTGTTGACGTGACAGTGTTATCAGACTCAGCCTTCTCCTCATCACTCTTCCCGTGTTCCCAGGTGCTGTCACAGTTCGACTTTGGATTTTGCTGTTCTACAGATTTGTTAGGGACACCGGCCTGCTGATCGCTATATTTCTATATATATAAAAAAGGCAGAACACTATGAAAATGAGTGCTCTTCAGTGGGTGGAATGTAACTTAATCTGAATTGTCCCTTCCACCCGTTTCCTAAAGAGGGGCATCCTTGACCAGTTCCTTTCTACAGAAGACATTTTGTAAGTCTACACCAATATTTGAGGCCCTGTGCCTCAGTGTCAGTAGCTAGAAACACGAGGGGAAGAACATTATTCCTCTCCTCCTTTCTTGTATCTTGCTGAAGACATTTAACTGAGAATAGAAATTTGACTCTAATTGCTATTGCAGCAAAATTCAAATTACTTTAAGAGGAGGTTTCTCCACAAACAGCCAACATGCTCTTACATGTAACAGGGATTATGTTGTGCTGGGATGCATCCCTCCCCGGGAGGAAAAAGGGGAAAGTTTGTTTAAATCCACTTGAACCCAAGCTCCTACCTGTACCTGTCTCACTGTCTGGCTCCCCGGATGAGCACTAAATGTGCTTTGTCCTACACTTCTGTTGCTGGACTCCACCTCAAAGTATGGTGCTTCTGGAGAGAACAACAGAGGTAAAACCAAGTATGGAAAGTCTATGGGTTCTTTTAGATCCTTGTATTTATACATTTATTTTGCTACTCCATATTAACAACAACAACAACAACAACAATAGTAAAGTTGGAAGAGACCTTGAAGGTCATCTAATCCAACCCCCTGCTCAGGCAGGAAACCCTATACGATTTCGAACAAATGGCTGTCCAGTCACTTCTTAAAAACTTCCAGTGTTGGAGCATTCACTGCTTCTGGAGGCAGGTTGTTCCACTGGCTAATTGTTCTAACTGTCAGGAAGTTTCTCCTTAGTTCTAGGTTGCTTCTCTCCTTGGTTAGTTTCCATCTGTTGCTTCTTGTCCTGCCTCCAGGTGCTTTGGAGAATAGCTTGACTCCCTCTTCTTTGTGGCAGCCCCTGAGATATTGGAAGACTGCTATCATGTCCCCCCTCGTCCTTCTCTTTGTTAAATCTAGACATACCCAATTCTAGCAACCGTTCCTTATATGCTTTAGCCTCCAATCCCCTAATCATCTTTGTTGCTATTCTCTGTACTCTTTCTAGAGTCTCAACATCTTATTTACATCATGGTGACCAAAACTGGATGCAGTATTCCAAGTGTGGCCTTACCAAGGCATTGTAAAGTGGTATTAATACTTCAAGTGATCTTGATTCTATCCCTCTGTTAATGCAGCCCAGCACTGTGTTGGCCTTTTTGGCAGCTGCAGCACACTGCTGGCTCATATTTAGGTGATTGTCCACTAGGACTCCGAGGTCCCTCTCACAGTTACTACTATTGAGCAAGGTTATACATTAGCTCCAATTTAGACTGTTGCCTTCTCTTTCCCCATTCTTCCTCCTATCTATGATTTCCCATTTTCTTTGTTAGGATATTGAATTTAGTAGCTGAACGGCAAAGTATACAATGGGCCATAACACACAGTTGTAGTTGATTGGTTGGAGAGAACTAGCTCATGCATGAGGCAATCTATACTATGATTGGTTGCTGTGGGTGTAAAGGGGGGATTTTCCTTCCCTCCCCACCTTTTTCTTCTGTGTGCTCTGTATGCTGTTTGATTTACTTCATGATGTTCCTGTGTTCCTGACTATCTTGTCTGCTGTAAATATAAATGTAAAATATTTTTATTTATATAAAACTACAAGTTTGTGTCAGTGTCTCTGATTTCATTTGGACAGCCGCTCGGCAATTCCCTAACATTCTTTTTTCCAATTCATATTATTGTTCCAATTAAAATTATTGCACTATTACACAAATAGTTGTTAGCATAGAAATAGTTTTATTTGTCTTATCTGACATTATATGAGATTATTTTTTTTTTGTAACCTACATAGCTGTTCATTTGGAGTTTACTTCTCCCCAAAGCTATTTTATAAATCAGATTCTGAAAAGTGTAGTTTGTTGTTGCCTCGAGTCTAGTTAACCTCAGCATGGTTTGCAAAAGGGTGCAGAGTCTTCCCCCTTAAATTATTCTGTAGGGCTATTTTCTAAGACTATCCATTTTTCTACATGGATGCAAAACTAGAGTAGCAAAACAGAGTGAGAACAAATCAAGAACAGGCCAAACCATGGGGTGTCCATGGGATCCTGTTGTTTTCATCAGAATAACAAAAGTAGCATCATATCATCCTCTCTTTCTCTTTATATAAAAGTGCAGGCAACTTCAGCAAACATATACAGGAAGGGTAGGCCTTGCGATACAACACTGTTTTTGTCATTCTGTTCTCTCCTTTGCCTCTGGGCCAAAGAAGCAGATTCCGGTCTGTTTCATAAGCAATTTAACAATTTGTGGCTAAAATAAGACTATGGATGAACTCATTTAGTGACTTAACTTAAAATTCACATCTGAGTATAGATTCTAACATGCATTCTCAAACCCAACATTTACTTCGGTTTGGCCTCTAGATCTACATTGGAATCCATGAAGCTAATATCCTTTTGCATCCCATAATACTACTATCAGGCATGAAACTGACCTTCAGGAATGATGGGGCCAGAGTCTTGAGTGGACACCGTTTGTCCTGCCCACATGCAAAGCTTTTTTGGACAAGATGCTGTTGATGAAAGCAAAGGAAAATCTCCCACAGCACCCTGTAAAAGTAATACTGCTTATGATTTTTGTTCATGATCAATAAAAATTAAAAAGAGATGCAACAGTCTCTTATTCTTTTCTAAAAAGAAGCTTAAGCAGTGTATATGAGGAAAGGGGCCTTGGCTCTACCAGTATTTGTGTCCCCCCCCCCCTTATGCTGACAGCATCTGAAAGTCATAGTGAAGGTAAAATTTGCTACATTTCACCACCAGAACTTAACAGAATAATGGAGTTGGAGGGGACCTTGGAGATCTTATAATCCAACTGTCAACGCTGCTAACATTGGATGTTCTTGCTTTGACAAAATATGAAGAGGTAGCCACTCTCTGTATAAGCTGGGTGGTATTTTTAGAGTTAAATTAGATGATGCTGGGAGGGGAGGAGAAAGAATGTGCGTGGGGATTAGTTAAGATAAGAAACCACAGAATGGAAGGGAAACTTTGCCCTTCAAACTAATTGGAGAACATGATTTATGACTGCAAATTAGAGGAGGGGAATATGCTGGAATATTATGTGCTCAGGGGAGGAGAATTCAGATCTTGGCACCAACTCTTACAATCCAACTCTATAGCAACTGTCAAAGAAAGTTATGTCACCAGTAATAGATAAACTCAGGAGGCTCTTGCTGGCTTTTTTGGGCCAATGTGTGTAGATCTCCTCTACTATCAGTCTCACCTGACAACAAGCTGATACTTTTCATTAAATGACTAGACTCAATAACCTTGAAGACAGCAAAAAAGTATGAAGCATGGGCAAAAAGCCAAGTGGGGCATATATAGTGACTTCATTCTTTCCTATTGAAAGATGTGGCCCAGAAAATAGAGACTCCAGGAAATGAAAAACTGGCTACATACTGTAGATGGTACTAAAAGGACCAGTTGGGATCCTTTGATAATAGGACACATTTCTGAGGTGAGAAGCTCCTAGCAAGATTTAAGCTACATCTCAGAAGATGTGGAAAGAACAGGTTTCAAAGACCCTTTGCAGACCTCATCACAAGGGCTTAAATGTTGCGGAAGAGGGCAAATGAAGTGTAAAAACAATGCAATGACAAGAATTGAGAATGGGGCTTGGATGGGTGTGCGAGATCATGAAGCAGGTTTCAAACACCCTTTGCAGACCTCATCACAAGGGCTTAAATGTTGCGGAAGAGAGCAAAATGAGTGTAAAAACAATGCAATGACAAGAATTGAGAATGGGGCTTGGATGGGTGTGTGAGATATGAAGCAGCCTAACGATGACTACATTAATTCAAGAAGGAATAAGATCAATTAGTTGACTCAAAGATTCCAGTGTCTGTGTGCAAATGCAGAGAGTGTAGGAAGAACTAGGACTAGAATTCAGGAAGGTAAATATGGTTTAGTAGGCATTGTTGAAAACTTTTAAGGTTGAAACTCATGAATGGATGTGTCTCAACTGGACCTTTAGACCTTCTCAATACATAGACCCAATGTCTTTGACAGTGTTATTCTTCCTTTCCTTTTTTTCTGGTCTAGTAATTTTCTATATAGTGAGGAAAGGCCCATACTTCCATCGGTTCTGCAGATAATAGGATTAGGAATAACTCAAAATTTAAGCAGTTGAGCTCCTTACCTGCTGGGCTGCTCGCAGTAAGTAGCGTAAGTCAGGAAAAGTGCCTGTCCGGTCACGTTCTTTCAAAGCTGTGCCACTTTTGACCACCTCATAAAATGGCTCAGGGACACGGGCATCAGTTAAGAGAGACTGTCCTCCCTCCATTTTTTCTTTCACATCAAGGCCATCCAATCCATCCCATGGAATTTCCCCTGAAAATAGGCATTGTTTAATATATAAAATCATAAACGATAGCTTAGGAAGACTATTGAATCTACCCTAACAGTTTTGGTCACGACAGCATACTCCTAGCTGTTATTACTAGGTTTGTGCCTAAAAATAATTTGAAACACCTTTAATGAATTATTAAAGCAGCGTAATTTTACTGCAGTACTTATAGCAGCATCTTTTTCCAAGCTCGTGTGGATTTATTTGCTTTTATGGTTAGTAGATAATGCATTTTTTTTTGAATAATTTTAAAAGCATGCAGATTCTAATTATTACAAAGATCTTGTTATTTGGATCATTAATAAGTAATCCAATAGTCAAAACTACATCTAAGAAATAGATTGAAGTGCCCTAACCTCAAGAAATTGAACCAGATAAAGAAGATTTCTCCACAGGAAGACAGTAAGGGCAAAAAAGATCAAAGAGCACCTAAATTCTAGTCCTTAGACATATTTCCAATTGATTATTTTAGAGCTTGTTTGTACAATATTAAACTGGATCTAAACATCCAAGCGTGGCCCTACAGAATATGGCATGTCTAATTTAAATCTGACTTCAATAGTCATATTTTAAAGATAATTAAGGCTAAAATTAGAAATTGTTGAGAATATTTGTGTCTCGGGTTATAGGTTTTGGCAGGGGTCTGTTCTCCAAGCTTGCTGTTTAGCTTCCGGACATTTTGCTGCCAAACTAGGTAACATCTTCAGTGGAGGGTTGGGGTGAAATGTCTTGTTCGTTTATATAGGTCCTGGGTGGTCGGTTGATCTTCTGACTGGTTGAATCACAAGACTGATTATGAGGCTAAATAAGGCTAAAATCAACATGATCTTTCCAGAAAAGAAAGCATTTTTAACAGATTGCATATTGGGTAGCATGTTCACATCATATTTTTTTTTGCAGCAAATTTGCTCTGCACGAACAACTGATTAGTTCATTCTACCTGTGATTTTTCTACCTATGCCGGAAACTGACCTGTGAAGATTTCCTGAATTACTGTGCAGAAACTGTAGAAGTCAGACTTCACAGAGGCTGGTCGGTCTCTGATGACTTCCAAGGGTAACCAGTTGTAGAGAAGCGGAGGTGGTGGGATAGGCCAAGTTAAACAGAGTTTCTCTCTCCTGAAACAGAATCCATGCTGTCAAGATTCCTGCAAAACCGTATCCGAACGGCTACAACGGCACAGGCTTCAACTAACCTCTGTTGCATGTGCTCAAGGTTAGTGAGCTTGGCAAGGCCAGGTCTCACCAGCTGTATGGCGTGGGAGGTCACAGCCCGATGGATATAGCCTCGAGAATGCAGAAACAAAAGTGCTTCAGAGACTTGGAGGAGTAGATGCACTGTAGCGGAGGATGCAGGGGAGCTAGGATTCTGCAGTGAAAGTAAGAAGGGAAGTGTGTGGCTCTGGGTAGTGAGAAGAGCAGCCTACTTTCCTGACTGTGCCACTTACCTCACAGTGCAAAGCATAGTAGAGGGAGCACATTTCCACTCTTTCAAAGACAAGCTGGATTGTTTGGAGATCCACGGATGGACTCACAGCTAAGAGGAGCAGTAGATAGGGATGGCGAAGTTGGCTACAGGTAACACAAGAGTCATGTTAAATACCACATCTACTCTGAGTGCCCGCACAGATCACATCTCTTGATTGTAACCAGGAAAGCCTGAATAAATAAATCACATCAATAGATCCTTCTTCGATCCATCGTATTCCCGATGCCCGCAAACTGGAGCTACCTGCAGTATTCTTGTTCAGCTAGGAGCAAGTCCATGGTGCGACGTGCTTTACTGGAGTTGGGATGTGCCTCTGGCTTGATGCTTCTCACAGTGACCAACTGTCCATTCCATAGCAAGCTAGAAATAGAGGTCATAGTGGAGGAATTGGAGTTAGAGTCCTAATCCTTTTCTCCGCAAAATTGTGAAATGAAGAGTTAGAATCATAACTCGTCAGCTGACAGTATTTGCAAGCCATCGCTTCTGCCAGACTACCAAGCTACGCATCTCTATTTGTGTAAAGTGGCTGCATATTGGTTCTGTTTTCCTGTGTATTTAGATGCATATGTATTTTTACTCTCTCCTTGGAAGTTCAGTGTAAGTCAAAGCTTGGCAACAATGTTCTGAACTTGAATGAGATGGGAAATATTAAAGACGAATCATGGAACTATATGACATGTCACCACATTTTCATTCAGGAGAAGACTTTTACTATGTGTTAACTACCACTTTTTGAACTGGGTCTTCCAAGTTAATTAAGGTTATATTTCATTATCTCTAAAAATATGGGAAGGAACAAGCCAGAAGGGACTAGTACATAGCAACTCAAAATGTAGCTTTACTTCCTCATGAGTGTAAATGGTCCATTCTGATAACTCCAATCTGCTTCTCTTTGTCCTCTGATCAGTTCGTTATTATCAGCAATGGATAGGAAGGCAGCCATCCGTGGCTGCTCGTATCTACTTGGATAGAGCTGAAAAAAGAAATGAACAAGCATGCACCTTAGCATTTCACTTTATAGATCAGTACATGCTCTTCCCATTTCACTGAACTACACTACTCAAGGTAATTTCCTTACATTTCCATATCCAACAAATGGCTTCTTCACATTTGCAAACATCTGGGGACAGTCCAGATACCTACAACAAGAGGGGAGGAAGGATTTTCTTTGAGACACATTCTTTTGAGCTTTCAGTATATGAAAATGAGATGGACGGTTTCTCTTGCTGACAGGGAAAAAAATCTATAAGGTGCAATCTATTTTCTCGGGTTTTGAAAAAAAGTATGGCTGCTTTCATGAGTGCTTTGCTCGAGTGAGGTCTGAAATATCTCTTCAAGTCAGTTTTTAGGTCTGCACTGCCCTAAGCCCCCATTCAAACTGTTTGCACCAGAAAGAAATTACAGCATATCTTTACAAGCGCTAAAATTAAATAATAACTAAATAAATCTCACCAGGATATAACCCTTTATTGTGACTTCACCGAGTGAGAAGAAATGACATTGAATAATGTTCTGGGGGCTTTTTTGCTTTGCTTTGGAACAACATGAAGTTTTTGGAACTTCCGTTTTTACAGCTTATTTATGGGATGGTAATTTCCAACACATGCTGTTCTGACATGCTGTTCTTCTTTCTTTCTTTCATAAGTGTAGATTAAAAATATACACTCACTGGGACATATTACACAAAAGGATTATACATTTGGTCAGTTCAGTCAAACTATGATTTTTCTTATATAATCTACTTTAACGAGGTTTGGGGATAAAACCAGCCAAGAATAAAGTTACCAGAAAGAGGTAGATAAAAGTGAGGTGAAAGAGGAACGCCAACTGCGTGAAGATGCTCCTAGATTTTTTGAGTACAGTGACTGATCGCCGTGCTGCACTTGTGCTGCCATCTGAGCACAGTACTGTTGCATGATGTCCATAACCTAGAAGCAATAGAAAGACATTGGACCTCATTCGGCAAAATCCTTGCATATAATCAATAGCCTGGTATCATAAACTACATGCATGCTGGCTAAGTAAGTGGATTGTTAGGGGAAGAGCATTGCTCGTGCCTCTGCATACAGCATAGAAGCTAAAATGGCCACCAGAATATTAACAGGTCATCCTTGACTTACACCCATCTGTTTAGTACAGTGGTTCTCAATTTTTTTAATGCCGCGACCCCCAACTGGTCGTAAGTCGAAGACTACTCAACCGGTCGTAAGTCGAGGACTACTCAACTGGTACAGCACCGTTTGCAGAATGGGACTTTTGGCGGGCTCAGCAGGGCAAAGACAGCCTGGACAATTCCTATTGGCTTTTGAAAGCCAATAGAATTAGACTCTATTCAAGAGAGTCTATTCTATTGGCTTTCAAAAGCCAATAGAATAAAAGGAAGTAGCACAGCTAAGGAAAAGGGGGAAAAAAATGGTGGACTGCGTTGTTTGGCGACCCCCGTGAAATGGTCGTTCGACCCCAAATGGGGTCCCGACCCACAGGTTGAGAACCACTGGTTTAGTAACTTTTCAAAGTTACAATGCACTGAAAGAAGTGACTTATAACCTGTCCAAACTTATAACTGTCAAAGAATCCACAAGGTCATGTAATTGAAATGGGGTTTGGTAACCAACATATGTTTATGACAGTTTCAATACCTCAGGGTCTTGTGGCTGCTATTTTGCAACCTTCCCAGCCAATTTTTGACAAGCAAAGTCAACGGGGGAAGGATTTGTTTAACAAATGCATGATTCACTTAACAACTCCAATGATTCGCTTAGCAACCATGGCAAAAAAGCTCATAAAATCAGGTGCAACCCCATTGCTTGAAATAGAAATTCTGGTCCCAACTGAGGTTGTAAGTCAAAGTCTTTCTGTAACTATCTCCCTTCACAATTTTGTAAAAACGGTGAATTTTCAAACACAGAAAGAGCTCTCCATTACTCCTGATCAGTTACTACTAAGTTAGTATATTTTATTCTTCTAGCAGGCTAATGCATTTCATAGAATTATATCCATATCAATCTTATGAACTTTGTACCTTTGCATTTTGTTCACCTCCAGCTTGCTGGGCCCAGTCCTTAGGAGTCCGACCCTTTTGATCATGGAATCTTAAATCTCCTCCCACTTGCAGGATACTATTGAGAAGTCTTGGGTGACCAGAAAACGCAGCTGCATGGACCGGTGTGCTACCATCGTAACAACGACTGGGATTCATAGAATAGAAAGAGAATGGAGAGGTGTAGATATCAACTACAGGAAACAACTCAAATAGATCTCATTTGCGGCGAATGGGCTATTTTACCAAGTTTGTCATGGTTGATTGAATAGGAGTTGGTATGACAGTAGCTTGGGCTTAGTGGCTTCTTAAGCTAAGGTATCTTGTGTACTGGGCAGTGATACTGGGCAGCATCTTAGGGCTGGGCAGTGATCTGGATCTGAAGAATAAAATAAGTTTGGGTTGTTAATGAGAACACATAAGTAGCATCTATTGTGAAGAAGACAAATGCTGTTTTTCCTGGGATTGCGTGTCTAAATCACTAGACTTGTGCAATCTAATTTTCAACTGGCAGATGCTCAGTTTGGGAGCCAGTTTAGCATAATGGTTAAGACATCAGGCTAGAAACCAGGAGACCAGTTCTGCCTTAGGTTCAAGGCCAACTGGGCCAGTCATTTTCAGCCCTAAGAAGTAGACAGTGGCAAACCACACTTCTGAGAGCTTGCCAAGAAAATTGCAGGGACCTGTCCAAGCAGTTGCTAGGAGTCAAAACTAACTTGAAAGCCTCAATATATAAATCATATGTTCTTCTGCTAGTTTTCTTGTTTGAATTATATAGTTGCTTTGTAAGCTAACCCAGTAATTGATACAAGGTTAGCTCATCAACTGACAGCTACTCAGTCATTGTTCGAAAACCTCCATTAAGATGTTGCTTTTCATGCCGAATGGCAAATATACCGTTCTACAACATGGACACATTAGATGTAATCCTGTCTTTGGGACAGCCGGGACAAGTCATCACTCTCATCCCCCTTAAAACACTATAGGAACGGGAAAGTGCTGTTGGGTGGACATCTCCAACAGACTTGTTAGTATGTTAGTTGGAAGGAGAAAGAGGATATCTCCACAGCAAAGCTAGGTCACTTCTAGTCACCATTATCTGTGGACTGTAGCTGCAAAGCTGAGAAATGTATATGAATGATGGAATTGGTCCTAAAGAAATGAACATCTGTAGATATCTGAAACAATGTATGCATTGGGATGTTACAATATATTTCTATTCTAGAAGAATTGCAGTCAGAAAGGTTGCAAAAGAATAACTACAGGTAGTACTCGAGTGACGAGTGCAATGGAGCCTGCCCATTCCACTTGTCACTTGAAAACTCGTAGAGTGAATCTTGTACCTCGAACAAGATTACTCCCTTGCTTGTTAAAACGCACACAGCTTGTTAAGCGAACACACCGAAGGCCTAGAGCAGCCAAGAAAGTGAAGGATCTCGATTTTCGTAGGGTGAATATTGAAGGCCTGGTGCCTAGGGAGATCCGGGGTGGGGGAGGGAATAACCAGGGTGAATGTTGCAGTGCCACTGCGATTGCTCTTAAGGGCGAATGACTGCCACAGTGCTGCAATATTCGTAACTTCGGGACTTGCTCGTAAGCACTAGGGATGTTCATCACGTAATTTTGAACGAGCGTTAAGTGAACGTCCATAACTCGGGGATTAACTGTACCGGTAATATTGAACTAATTTCTCTAGGAATTCTGTATCACTCACTGATTAGGATTAGCACCAAAGCGTAGAAACAGCTGAACTACAGAAGCATGTCCCAGTAGGGCACCAATATATAAACCAGTCTGTCCAGCTGCATTGTGGCTGTCGACTTCCACACCTAAGGAAGGAAGCATGTGTCACACTGAATAACAGCAAAAGTTTTTTTCTGAAAGCATGTTCATTGGAATTGGACAGCCAATAAATTAATGTTAACAACAACAGCAATAATACTGTAACATTACAGGTAGTCCTTGATTTACAACAGTTAATTTCATGATTGTTTGAAGTTACAGCATTGAAAAATGTGACTTATGATGATTTTTCACACTTATGACCATTGTAACATACCCACGGTTACATGATCAAAATTCAGGCACTTGGCAACTGATCCCATATTTATGATGGTTTCAGTGTCCTAGAAACATGTGACCACCTTTTGCAACCTTTTGACAAGCAAAGTCAATGGAGAAACCAGATTCACTTAACAACCATATTATTAACTGAACACTGGCAAGGAAGATCATAAATGTTTTGCTTAGCAACAGAAATTTTGGGCTCAGTTGTGGTCGTAAACTGAGGACTATCTGTATATGCACCAAAATGAGCTGATTCAACTATAACTAAATCTCCTGTCCCATATTAGAAATATAGAATAGAAAATAAGACAAACTTTGCAGGTTATATCCTCTATTTTCATCACATGAATGATGCCCAGCTAGAGTTCTAACTCTTACAAAAAAGCAGCTATTGATGCAATGTAACTCACACAACAAACATGATTTACCTCTCTTTAATAATATCTTGGCCTTATTGCTCTTGCCCTCAGCAGCATATCTCAGTAATTGCCCTTCCAGAGATTCAGGTTCAGTAAAATAGCCTAGGCTTACAGGACAGTTTGGCGAGAGCACTGGCACCTTTGGCATCACACTAAAACAAGCATCAGAATGTAGTTTTAAGAGATATTATAAAACAAAGCACTTCTTTCAATTAAATACAAGCCCCTTTTAAAAATCATATATTGTAAGAAAACATAGATGCATGGCTGTGTGGATATAAAACCTAGATGTGTAACATGTGTGGATATTCAGAAGAGCAACCAAGATGATTAGGGGATTGGAGGCTAAAACATACGAAAAACAGTTGCAGGAATTTGGATATATCTAGTTTAATGAAAAGAAGGACTAGGGCAGTGGTGGCAAACCTATGGCACGCGTGCCAGAGGCGGCACTCAGAGCCCTCTCTGTGGGCATGCGCGCCATGCCCCGGAGATGGCAACTGTCCCTCTTCAACCAGCCACCCGCTAACTCGCTAACTAGAAGACCTCCAAGATTCCTTCCAACTCTGTTATTCTGGTTCCTGTCCTCCTCCTTCCTATAATCCTAGTATCTTCAAGAGGGCACCACTATACAGAATGGAATACAAAGTTGGAAGGGACTTTGGAAATCTTCTAGTCCAACTCCCTGCTGAAGCTCAAAGTTGCTTTTTCAAAGGTGCGCAACCAGGAGATCCTACACCATTCTGGCTGTCTAATCTCTTTTTAAAACCCTACTTTATTCATATATATTTCACAGTAAAAGTTACTCTAGGACAGCAGTTCTCAACCTGTGGGTCACGACCCCATTTGGGGTCGATCGACCATTTCATGGGGGTCGCCAAACAATGCGATCCGCCATTTTTTTTGTCAGGGGGCGCCGCCGTGCATGCGTGCCATGCAGGGGGCGGCACATGGGGGCAGCACTGCGCATGCGCACTGTGCATGGGCCGACACCGCGCATGCGTGCCGCACAGGGGGCGGTGCGTGGGATGGCGTCGCGCATGTGTGCCGCGCGGGGGGCACGCATGCGTGCCGCGCAGGGGGCGGCGTCACGCATGCGTGCCACGCAGGGGCGCCGCCTGCTTATGTCCGGGGTCGCCGTATAAAAAGGTTGAGAACCACTGCTCTAGGATATCCAGACATTCAATGAATTTTGGAAGTCCCATCTGTAATTCCATTTTCATGAATATATCCTACTGATTCCAATGGGATTATTGAGTGAATATTCACGAAACTCTGCTGCACATTCCCATTTTTATAAAAAATCTGCTTTTGATAAATCAGTTTGCCTCAACAACGTTGCAACAGTATATTGTAAATTGCAATCTGATCTTACAATGTTTTTTCTATTGTCTGTCTAACTGTGAATTGTATACTGTATGCTATTATGTAGGTGTTCTTTATTGCACTGTTCCTCAAGCAAGTGTGGATTTTCCCTGTCCCAGTTACAAGGTTGAGATTACATATACTTGGTTCCACATTGCTAATGCAAGCCTACCTGGATCATCCACCTGGAAATATTCATGGATATGGGAAACACTCTCCGCATGTTCAGCTCTCTTTGTTGACTCTTATTTTCTATTCCTGGAAGGTTTGAGACCCGGTCTACATTAACACTTCTTCATGCTGCAGCATTATAAAATGCTTTTATGTTCCCAAATCAAGCCAGTGTGCAAAACCATAAAAATTGAGTAATATGCCAAATCCTGAATTCAGTCAGGACACTTTGTAGAGCAACAAAGCAAAAGTGGAGCCAACTCCAAGCAGGGCAGAAAGCAGTAAAATGCAACAGATGCCAAGTTTTAACTAAAATATTAAGTGTAATGAATGCATGAAAGCCATCCCTGATTTCAATTGCATCTACTGGGAAGAAAACAATGCCTTCTTTCTGGAAATTATCCTTGCTTCTTTAAAAGAAACATCGTTCTCCTTCGGCGAGGAAAGACGCAACGAAGAATTAGAGTGACAGAAACCCCCAAACCCCAATTACTTCCTTTCTTGCTTTTATGTTCGGAACGTGATTGACGGGCCAAACCGCAAGAGAGTTTTGAAAGCGGGGCCTTATCAACGGCCGCAACGGGAGCCAATCAACGGGCGCGAGACAGAAGGGAGGTGGGGCAAAGCGTGAATTGACGGAAAATGAAGGGTCTGCCGAGAGCGAGCGCAGCGAAAAATCTGTTGGAGATTCCCTTCAAAGCAAGCCCCACATGGCTTTAATGGTTGGATGCTGGGGTCGCGGGAAGACCGAACCATTCCGCCTTAGGGAAGGCAACCTATTTTGAATGTTCAAGAATTTAAAAATAAAAGGAACTAGAAAGCAAGCATGATAAAGAAAAGACTTAAACTCCATCTCTTTGTCTCCTCAGCAATTCTCTTGTTTATAGGAAATCAGCATAACATAGGCAAACACTAAAATAATGTGAATTTTTCCCCTTTGAAGGGCGAAGTGGTGTAGTCCATTTCTCCCTCTCTTATTCCCAGTTTGCAGATTGAGCGTTCGTTTATTTCGGGGAGTGATTTGCAGAGTGTAGCGTACGCTTTATTTTAAAAACAAAATAATTTCTGAGATGTTCCCCTCCGGGCAATTGATGCCGGCGGAAAGAAGAATCCAATTGTTAATTTAGAAATTAAAATCTGCTTGCTTTTGAACTCTGCATTTTTTTGTTTGTTTTCTTGGAAGTAATAATAAAAAAACGCTGGTTTTTTCATTCGGGTTTAAATCCATATTCGTTCGCTCTCAGGTATTCGAATGCACCAGAAGCAACGTTTCCCATGTTTTTTCGTCAAATATGCAGTATATTCAAAAATGAGAGCTGATAGAACCCTGACAACCAAGAGATGGAGGCAAAGAGGAAAAGTTGGAGGAGAAAACAGATCTTCCCAACAGATTCTCGATTCGTCCTCATTTATTAACTGCTTCCTCTTCAACTTTATGTCACTTCTTTTACTCAGTATTTCTTAATGCTCCCCCCCCCCGAACCCTTTCTCACTTTTAAAAATGATGGAAGACTCCAAAAGAGCTTCTGTAGGGGTTATGTTTAACTGATATTTTCCATATCGCAGCATAAAATTGACTCATTTGCTGTCACTATCGCTTCTCATGATTATTTGATAGGATTTTAGTGTCGTATTGTTCTTTAGGACAGGCTGGAAAATTTTGATCTCGCTGACTCCGGAGATGAGTCATGTTGCCCCTGTTTGGCCAAAAAAAATGCTACCTTAAATGACTTGGGTATTTATGGAATTTTTAACTCCACAAAAGATATTTTGTTGTGAAATTCAGATTTCACAAGTCCTTGGGGGAGGGGGAACGCTTATTATAGGAGTGGGGGGGACTTAGTTTATTAAATGAAGTTGCAAGGCAATTAGCATCTTGAATTAGGCTGCTCTGAGGATTATTTGATAAAAAATATTTTTTAATTATATCAAAGCAGCAACTCTAAATAAAAACAGTTTTCCTAACACTGGTGGGTTGCTTTTTTGTTTGTGCTGGTGGGTTTGCCACCAGAGAGATCTTGGCAATGACATAATACCAAAACCAAACAAAACTAAAGGTGCTAATTATGTTTATATTATTTTAAAAAAATTATGTCCATTTCTAAGGTGGGTAGTAGGAGCCAGAACTTCTTTTAGAACAATTACTCTGGACATCTGACTCCCAAAAGACAAGCTTCTTTATTAATTACCCTTAAACTATTGAAGAACAAAAACTCTTATTTTTTTCAAATGTCTAGAAAAGCTCTTATATTTTCAGCTGCAATGTTTATCCTAATAAACTAGCCTTAGATCTAGGTAGACCAAGATTGTTCTGAAGGGCAGATGACAGTTAGTCAGATGACAGTTAGTCAGACCAACAGCTCACTGGTTCTCAAGTTATGGTTCATCCAGTATATTATTGTGCTATTATGTATTTATTAAAGAAACAAACAATTTCTACATAAGCTTCAGCTTACAAAACCCTATTCTAAACATTACAGTACTTAAGAATATTAAAAATAAAAAGGTGATTCCTGGGTAAACTCATGTTTAGCTAGCAATAAATGCAAGAACACCAGGAAATTATAAAACTATAAAAAGTTTTAATAAATTTAATAAAGCTTGGTGTTTTAAATTTATTAAAACATTTTATAGTTTTATAATTTCCTGGTGTTCTTGCATTTATTGCTAGCTAAACATTACAGTACTCTATAAATGACTGTTTTTACAGTATGCAAATTTAAATTTGCAATTTCAGTTGATGAATAATCAATGATAAGTTTCATCCTTGTATTGTGAAGCATCATGTCCCTACACCAGGGATGTCAAACTGTGACACCCCTGCCCTACACCATGAGCATAATAAAGATACTTGATTTGATCTTCTCTGTCCTCCTTAATACTTGGGTATAATTTTTTAACTTATTCTATCTCTTCATTTGCTTTTTATTCTTTTGATCCCAAACACATATTGTTTGTTTTCTGTCATTTTTTGGTCCAATCTGCCATTTCTTTTCTTTTTTTTTCTCTATCCTATTTTCCTAGCTTCTTGTTTCAGGTAGGCCTTTTATTATATACTGTAACTGCTCCATAAACCATGATGGGGGGGCATGTCAATGGCAGATATTCTGGCCAGGTGCTGTTCCTACTAGGATATGGGAAGTAATTTGATGCAAAATGTGTTACCTATAAAACAAGTAACGAAGAATTAGAAAAATGAATTCAAGTAGTAAATTCAAACCTTTGTTGAAGATAGGTATTTCCAGGCAGATAATTTGAAATCATTGTGACTCAGGATATCCAAGAATGGATAAAATATTTATGTAGAAATATTGTCTTCTCTTCCGAGACCTATTTTGCTGGCCCTCCACTACCATTGCCAAGAAACACTACAGTGATCTCTGGAGAATGGAGAATGCTTGATAAGAGAACATTCTGCTTAGTAGAATACCGTTGTGATGAAACATCTTTCCATTATAATATATCATCTGAAGATGCCGCAAGACAAAATGGATAAGCAGGAAATGTGTTTGTACAAGCTTTGATTAAATTTGTTATGCACCTTCTGTTTATCAGCCCTACAATCAGGGCATTTGATTGTAGATGTATCAGTCAATGAAGGAGAGAAACCCAGGAAATAATATAGCAAATAAAAAGATTATGTATGAGTTGTACCACATATTATATTATTAAATAAGTTTAAACACAGCATACTATGCAACTGAGTAAAACATGTGATTTATCTAATAATCTCTGATACACTTGAAACAGCTCTCCATTTGAAAAGGAAAATGAGGTAAAATAAACAATGTGGGAGTTGAGTTTCTTGAATTTTATTTCCAATTTCAATCTTATAATGACCCACTAAATAATACCTTGTAGCATTTCACAGTGATAATTATTCCTACACTGCACAAAAGTCAATATAAACCATTAGGCAATGTTTAATGTGTTTATATGCAGCTTTTAAGATAAATCCAAGACATACAAAGCAATTTACATGAATATACATGCAATAAATGTACAGTACAACAAAAAGGCATTGGATAAATAACTTACTATAAGGTGTGACTGCTTGTTCATATCTCTTTTTAAGTTTAAGGTAGTTCTTTAGAAGCCCTGGATGGCCAGGGATGCTATAGTACTCCTCGACTTACAATCATTTGTTTAATGACCGATCAAAGTTATTCAATGGCACTAAAAATGATGTTATAACTGTTTTTCATACTTACGACCTATGCAGTCTCCATGTGGTCATATGATCAAAATTCAGACGCCTAGTAACTGGTATGTACTGTATTGATGGTTTGTTTGTTTTCTAAATTTATTTGCCTCCTATCTTGCCATGGGGCTAGGCAGCATACAATAATAAAAAGGAAGAAAAATGAAAGGATTGTAAACAGAAGTAAAATAATAAACAATAAAATAAAGGATGACAAAATAACACATCAAGAATAATACATCAATATGATAACCAAAAAGATTGGATAGGGGCAGAACAGAGAGCAAGAGGGGATGGGGGAGGTAGAATCTACTATCAGTCTCACAACCACCTCCTTTTGGTCCCAAGGCCAAGCGGTAGAACCATGTTTTCAGGCTCTTAAGGAAGGCTAGGAGGGTCCTGGGGTCCTTTGATCACTTTTTGCCCTCTTCTGACAAGCAAAGTCAATGGCGAAGCCATATTCACTTACCAACTATGTTATTAATTTAACAATTGCAGTTATTCATTTAACAACTGTGGCAAGAAAGATCATAAAATGGGACAAAATTCACTTAACAACTGTCTTGCTTAGCAATGGAAATTGAGGACTACCTATAGTAGATTCCTGACTAGACAGTAGATTTGACTAGATAATCTCCAAGGACATTTCCAAAACGTATATTGTACGATTCTATGAAATGGAATATTTTGCAAATGGTTCAAAATTGGAGCAGAGAGTAAGACAAAGGTATGAGATTGCCCCTTGGTTGTTTAATGTGTTTATGAATAAATGTATAAGAAATACTTGTGATGTTTGAAGCACACTGGTTGGGTATTTGTATGAATGGGTAGGGTTTTTTAATATATATATTAATATAACAAAGAATTAAGGGAGAATGGGATAGCTATTTCGAGTTTCTTAACTCTCTTCAGCCACACTTACCCTTCTGAGATTCGAGCCTGGGCTGTGTGCATGTTACCTCTAGGCCACAGGCTCCTTCTCACTTTGTCAGCTGTATCAGGGAGAGAAGAGACAGGGGGAGGAGATTTACCTTGAGTGTTTCTTGATGCACCCTGTCGGCCCAAATATAGGAGAAAGAAATCTTCTTTCTTTTTCTTTTGCCTGTATCAGCTCAATCTAGAGCCATCCACAGGCAGCAGTCGCAACTGCGACATCATTTATATTATAAAATTTGGATTGCTAACAAAGAATTAAGGGAGAATGGGATAGCTATTTCGAGTTTCTTAACTCTCTTCAGCCACACTTACCCTTCTGAGATTCGAGCAATATATATATTGCTATGTTGTTGGATGAAAAAGCAAATTCTAGCAAATATTATATGATACAACAAGGATCTGAAAATTAATATATCCTAGACCTAGACCAAGGTTTGTTTGGAGAAAAGTAGAACGAATGCTTGTGACTTAAATTTATATTTTGTTTGGAGGCTGTTCCTTGGTCACTGATAGAAAATGCAAAGTTCTTGAGATTTCTCAGCCCTGGTTTAAAACAGTGACACCCCCCCCCCTCGCTTTAATATTTTACTTTTTTCTCCTTGTTTAGATTTCTTAGGTCAGAAGATTCTTACACAACAAGCTGTGAATACTGGTTAATCCAAAAACGATATAATGCTACTGCCTTCAGTGACATAGTTGAGTGTATAGCAATCAACATGCAATAGCAGTCTGCAGACACCAGAAAAGTAGATCATCCTTCCATTTCCAAACTATACTCCATATTCCTTGGCTCTGTTCTGCTTTCCCTGTATCCAGGCAAACCTGCCCATTCGTTTTCCACACAATCCTTGAGTCACTTCCTGCTCTAATTTAATTCTGAAAAAAAAAGCTAAATTGCTGAACACACGTATGGCCTAATTTCAATAAACTGTATGGGGACTGTGCCATCAGTGCATTTTTTCCCACTATCCCATGCTCTTACAAGTGATCCTTTGCTGGCAATGGTAACTCTGTTCATACATAATAAGTTAGATTGGCCAACTCACACCATTAGCATTCTACTACGTTAGCTTTGCCTTGTCATTTCATTCAGACATAATGTCTCTCAAAGAAACATGGGAATGGCAATTAATGGGAAAATAATTAAATTAATAAATTAATATGAAGAATTCCAGAAATGAGATGGCCTGTTAAAACGGCAGTGCAGAATTCCCAGAGAGAAGGCATGTTGAAAGCAAGCTTTTAACCTGGTGGTTTGCATGCTTTGTATGAATAAAAGGAGAAAAAAAAAACTTTCCCCACTGAAAAAGATTTGGTTGGGGACATAATATCCCCAAAGAGAGGCTTTTGTTTCAGTTTTCAGGTTTACAAAATATCAAGCTTTTCCTGCTGTCAGCAATTAATTTAAAGAGTCTATGCAATATTTTAGTGAATACTTTTATTTTTGGAGAACTTGAATATGTAATGTAGTTCTATTGATCTATTCTCATCCTTATGGATTTCTCATAGGCATCTGAGTGGTTATTATGAAGACTCATCCTTTCACTCTCTGGGATTTTTTAAAATTTATTTATTTATTTCTATCTATCCTGTCTTTATTGCTACAAACAACTCAAGGTGGTAAACATATCTAACACATCTTCCTCCTCTTATTTTCCCACAACAACAACCTTGTGAGGTAGGATGGGCTGAGAGTGAATGACTGGCCCAAAGTCACCCAGCTGGCTTTCATGGCTAAGGCAAGACTAGAACTCACAGTCTCCTGCTTTCTAGCCTGGTGCCAACCACTAAGACTGAATTGGCTCTAGTTTATCCTTATTATGGTTGATCACATAGTCAGCCAGATATTTTAGAGTGCATTTGGCATTATTTGATTTTTATCCAGCCTTTTATTTTTATTTTATTTATTTAGAATTTTTAATCCTTCCTTTATTATCGTTATAAATAAGTTAAGATGGTGAAGCTCCTTCCTTCTCCTATTTCCCCCCCAAAAAATCATCCTTTGAGGTGAGTTGGGCTGAGAGACAATGAGTAGTCCAAGGTCACCAGCTGGTTTTGCATGCCTAAATGAAACTAGAACTCACAGTCTTCTAATTCCTAGGTCAGCACCTTAACCACTAGACCAGGGGTGGGCAACCTTGGCTCTTTTATGACTCGTGGACTTCAACTCCCAGAATTCCTGAGCCAGCATGGCTCAGCTTGGAAACTTCTCCCTTTCTCCTCAGTATGGCTGGCTCAGGAATTCTGGGAGTTGAAGTCCACGAGTCATAAAAGAGTCAAGGTTGCCTACCCCTGCCTAAACCAAGCTGGCTCTCATTATTAGTTTTATTGCTATAATTGTATGGTTTGCTTGTTTGCTTGTTCACTACTCAGGTCATAGATTTCCAAATATCTGAATAAATGATACCTTTTACATAAGACTTGCAATGTAAAATTGTTTAAGGAAAGCCTGCAAAGAAAACTGTGATATCATTTCGGATTATTATATAATATTTTCTTTAGATCTATCTAGATGCTTTTATCTTTAAGTGTGAGAATTTATAAAACTTCAAGGAGAAAAAAATGAATGGATTAACATCTTCTGTAGTGGGTGGGAGTTTTTATTTTTAACATGATTGTGTTTGACATGTTTCTTGTTGTGTATTTTTTTTTTTTTTTGCTGAATGCTGCCCAGAGTCACCTCCTACATCTGTTAATAAGAACAATGAGTCCTCTTTGATCTAACAATGCAGAAAGATGGATAGCTGGTTAGCGTGTGCTGTACATTCTGCAACTTCCTCTTCCATTCTGCATATTCCAGTTATGCTGCTGGAAAGCTGGTCTGGGAAGTGCTGTTATCAGTCTGGCCTCCACATCACGTTAGATACCCTCCTTAGTTATTGAATAGAATCAGTTTCCACCTGTTATTACAAAATTTCCATATCATTTTGGATGACCATTATATCCCTACAAATCTCTCCCTTGCTGAACCTGATTGTTTCTTAATCTGTGGACAAATGTTTTGCAATTTGATTTTCAAATGTAGAGTAGAATAGAGTAAAGTAGAGTAGAGTAGCTTTGAGAATAGAATAGAATAGAATAGAATAGAATATTCTTTATTGGCCAAATGTGATTGGACACATAAGGAATTTGTCTCTGGTGCATAATGCTCTCAATGTACATATAAACAACAAAGTAATATGTTGATTATATTATTAGAAATAATCATTATAAACAAAGTAATGTTTAATTACTTGGATGCTACCAACTGAATTCACTGGCTGTAGTTTATTAAGTTAATTCAATATTTTAGATTCATACAGCACCCTGAAGTATCAACCAATGACCTAATCAGTGTACCCACAACAGCATGGGTACTACAATGTAGTTAGCTATTTTGTATTTCTGAACAGCGGGAGCATCCTTGGTGCTGAGGGAGTCCAGATAGTGCTTACAGCAGCATGATTGAAACCCCATTCCTTTCTGACTTTCTTTGCAGACACAATGGATATAAAAAAGGGGTAAGGTTTCAATCAGATGTCATGCTTGCCAATTTGAATTTTTTGAATCCCACAGATGGCCCTATACCCATATGTTCCATTTACCCTTGTTCTTTCTGTAGATAGCCATTCTTACACTACCCCCCCAAAACAGTAAATATACTGAATTAAAAGAGCCGTAAAAATGACACAACCCCCTTAAAATCAATATACATCATGATTTATAGACATTCTTTACTCTTTAAGAATAATTTTCTTGTTATTTTTCATTAAAGCTTTGGGGCCCTGGAGTTCAAAGCAAGACTCAAAACAATAGAATAAGAATTGCCAATCTTCCCACCATGATACACCTGCTTATTACTAAAGAGTAGCTAGTGTCAGGCTCAAGCAATTAGAGCTACTCGTAGATAGCTAAAGTAAGCAACTTTATTGTTCTTTAGCTAAGTTACAAGAATCTCTTCAGATGGGTTGCCTTCCCCTGGAAATGATCAGATAAGGCTTCATGGATCTTGGGAGAGATTAAGCTTATGCCTCTTGTGGCTGCTCAAAGACTCTAAGCTAGGCCTTTACTTGACCCCCTCCTTCCAACCTAGGTTGCAGTTTCCCAACAGCTAGGATACTCAACAAATTTATTTATTAGAAGATCAAAGGGCCCAGGGAACATAATGTATATGGGCATAGAGAAGCTTGCTTGTTAACCTTGTCTAATTAGTGATATATGTAACTTTACCAACATTTGTAAGGCTGTGGGTAATACCACAAAAATCTGTGTGGTAAATACATGAAAACCCACACTTATTTGGCTTTGTATTTGAATATCAGCAGGAAACTGTGGATCTCTAATGATTTGTCATTAACTTTTAGCTCTGTAGTCCCCACGGTCTGAGGCCACAGGTTATCCACTCTGCTCTAGTTTTAAAATTGCATGTTGATCAGGTGCCTCTTCTCTAATTTTCTCTACTCTCGAAAATCTTGCAGTTAAACCTGGTTGCATTATTTCACAGCTCTGCAATTTAAAATGTCACAAAACCTCCAATACAAAAGGAGTTTTAGCACCAACCCACAGCTTTTGGGAAGCAGGATGAGTAGCCTAGAATTGGCGGTTGTGGTGGTTGTGGTAAATTTAGCACAGTGATTGTTGCTGTCTTGTGATTCCATGCCTTCTTGCTGAGAAAGAAAGGGGATTGGTCACAGTCCTTTCATCATTCCAGACTTGCCTTGCCAAATTCCCAGTAGGAGGATGTTTCCTAAAGGTTGCACCTGCTCTGTGGAAACAGTAAAGAGTGGCACTCCCATGCAAGGTATAGCAATATACCACACCCTAAAATCTGGGAAATCCAGCCCCGTATCCCAACAGGAAAGATATAAACTGTCTCCTTAAGAGTACCTGGAGCAATTGGTTTCATATATGAGCCTGACTGGAGATTCATAAAGCAGCAAGGTATTGCAGCGGCCCAAGCCAGAAGGATGAAGATAAGCTTCAGCTTGGGCAGAATCTCGTTCGGTGGAAGCCTTGTCTTCATCTTGGCCATGACTTTACTTTTCACAGGTAAGTAAATGATGAGTGAAGTCAGAGCAGAAACAGAGCATCAAGAAAGAAAGAAAGAAAAATGGAAGGACTGCAGAACCAAGAAAAGTCCTGTTTTGACCATAGTAGTTAGAAATCAGGAGGACTCTGGTAGCATCTTTTGAGACAAATGAATTTTATTAAAAGACATAAGCTTTTGTGAATTGTCTTCATCAGAGGCATGAATGGTTTTAGATCCTACATCCATCAGTGTAACCTTTCCATGCATTTGATGGAGTCATATGTAGTTCACAAAAACTCCCGTTCAGTCTGAGAAGGTGTTACTAGGGGCCTTCAGATTTTTAGGAAAGCATCAACATTTGTTGGGAGAATTAGGACTATGTTTATAGCAAGCCCAAAAGATATCCCTAGACCTTGTGAAACCTAAGAAGAGATCCACTGAGAAAAAGAATAACACATTCTTCGTTTTCTGACAGTGGTCACTTCAGCATTTTATTTATTTTCTTATTTTAAGTGTCACATGACTTAAGGTTTAGCATTTTATAGAATTGCATCAGCCAATTATTTAGTAAATGTGGAGCAGCTGGGCTTAAAATGATTTGTGTTTAATTTTCGTTTGATAGCTGACGAATACTTTCAGGGACCAGAACATTTATACAAAGGTTAGGGAAATGTTACAGAATGTAAGGACTTTGTAGTGTAGGTAGGCTGAGAGAGACTCATTGCTCAAAGGCTATTTTATGAGCTTCATAGCTGAAAAAATGATTCAAAAATTTTAAAATAGGATTGATATGAGCACATATTATAGGCTGATAAAGTCTGGAGTTAGAATGAAGTTTGGCTTGGATCAAGTCTTTGTAATGGTATTTCAATAACTCTTCTTAGTCCACGGAGAGGCTTTCCAGTGTGCATTTGTGAGTGTTGTGGAATGATCAATGTCTAGTGTGCATATGGTAAATTAAAATCTCCATCATGACATTCGGTTTTCTGGATGATCTTGGACAAACCAGGTTCTCTTAGGATAAACCAGGCATGTTACCTAAAATTTTCCTATGCTCTTCTTTGTGAAGTAATGTATGTGTGGCCCAGAAAGAAAGGAAAAGCAAATAGGTTGTGATAATAATGGCAAGAAAATGAACCCCCTTCACTCAATCCTGCCACAAAGCTAGAACCATTATTATTTTAAAAGCTGGCATTAGTGATGTGATGGACCAACTTTAATTAGTCTTAATATTCAAGATAAATGGCAAGATATTGTGTGAACTCTTAAACATCTAGAAACCAACACATTGTCAATCCTCTTTATAAACTCCTTTTTTATGTGCAAAGCTATTTTACAGAAATTATTGATGACATTTTTCCCAAAGTTGATCTGGAATTTTGGAAAGAAAGGAATACAACAGCAGATTCCAGATGAGAATGTATGGAGTCATTGGACATCTACAAAGTATCTGTCTTGAAAACAGAATATCAGGAGACCTTTTCTTTTTGTCCCTTTCTTGTTGACAAGGTGGTCATTATTTATTATTTGATGAATTTCTCATCTTTTTTTATGAAACTCAAGGTATGTGCACAGAGTTCCATTCAAACATTGAACACACCCAGATCTGTTCTGATTCTGTAAAACTGTTGCATCATGTAATTTGGGACAAGAAATTAGGATTCTATTTTTCAATCTTATTTACTTGCATTTGTGTTGGAATTGCCAAATTTTCTTCTAAGCCTAATTAGGAGCAGCTAACGTCCTTCGCTTATGTCTGCAGAAGCGAGGAGTATTTATAATCTGGTTATGCTGGATTGTCAAGATTTTACACACTAAGATGGTAGTGTGAACATGTCTTCAGTTTTTTTTACTCCATCCCAGTTTCAAAACCAGGGATAGCCATAAACTAACTAATAGTAATTGTTGCTGACCATGCAATCAGCAACTTCAGAAAAAAATATTTGTATTTTATTTTTTTTTCTTCCCTCAAAATATGGTAACTATTAGCACTCTAAGCAACTATCTGGACAATTTCTTTTAGTTGAGATAGGTTCATACCTATAGAGCCGAGCCCCCTGCTCCCCCCAAGCCTTTTTGAGAACACATCTTGGCTTACATTTAGTCTTCTGGTAGGCCAGTGTTTCCCAAACTTGACAATTTTAAGGCATGTGGACTTCAACTCCCAGAATTCCACAGCCAGCTGGCTGTGGAATTCTGGGAGTTGAAGTCCACATGCCTTAAAATTGTCAAGTTTGGGAAACACTGTGGTAGGCAGCCTCACCTCCAAACATCTTATTGGGCTTCACTGCCAGCAACCATAAAGAAGAGGGAATCAAGTTATTTTCCAAAGCACCTGAAGGTAGGACAAGAAGCAATGGGTGGAAACTAATCAAGGAGAGAAGCAACCTAGAACTACGGAGAAACTTCCTGACAGTGAGAACAATTAACCAGTGGAACAACCTGCCTCCATAAGCAGTAAATGCTCCCACACTGGAAGTTTTTAAGAAGAGACTGGACAGCCATTTGTCCGAAATGGTGTAGGGTTTCTTGCCTGAGCAGGGGGTTGGACTAGATGACCTCCAAGGTCCCTTCCGACTTTACTATTATTATTATTATTATTATTATTATTATTATTATTATTATTATTATCGTGCATCGCACAGTCAGCCAGATGTTCAGACTGGATTTGGCATTTTGTCTACCTATCGAGTCATTATTATTATTATTATTATTATTATTATTATTATTATTATTTCCATTCTCTAAGAACACCTGGGGCATCCTTCTAAATAGAGGCTGAGGCTTTGAAGGATGCCAATCCTTTATTTATTTTAATTAAAAAAAACCAATAACCATAGGTACCCTAAGCTACTCTGGAGTTATTATTCTTATCCCATCTTTCCCAGGAGCTCTAAGTGGTGTGCATAGTCTGCCCTTATTTTTTTTCCCTACCACAGCTTTGTGAGTCAGGCTGGATTCCCCACTCCACCACTCTGCTCTTGGGCTAAGAGAGGGAGACTGACCCCATAACATCCAAGGATTTTTTTATGCAGCTATTATGGGGGTCTTGATGCTGGGTCTCTCCACTGCTTATCTAAACCACTAGCCTGCAATCTCAGCAGGCATCAGATACAGCTATTTTCTCCTCCAGCCCTCAAGATTCCAATCCTACCTGAATCACAGAAGCTCATTGGGCAATTTGGGGCTACACTCTTTCTCTCAGCCCAGCTTACTTCGCAGGGTTGATGTTGCAGGGAAAAATTAGGCCTTGGACCAAAAAAACCAACTCTTCAACTATGCTTTCTGCAACCTGTCCAATTTGAATAATGTAATTTGTGTTTCAAAATATCCCATGCTGCTCTGAACATAAGTGCCTTGTGAGAAAGTATTCTACCTCTAGCTGGGTTCAACTTTATCTGATGCGTTTTAGGTTTAGGAGTCTATAAGATTTGGCAAGAATAGAAATGGGAATTATGTCTGAGTGAAGATGCAAAGGGCAAGGCCGTTAATCTACTCATGGAATGTTGAATAATTGTAAAAGAAAAAAAAAATCCTAAAGATAACTTAGAAAAAGCTTCTATTTTCCTTCCTTTTGGATCAGATTTTTTTAAAGAGTTCACTAAAACTACCTGTAGCTATAAACTTAACTTTCAGCAATTTTTGTATGTAGCCAAAATAATAATAATAATAATAATAATAATAATAATAATAATAATTCATCCACGCAGTGACATTGATAGACTTTATCTACCAAGGCAAATAGGTGGGCGTGGAATGCTACAAGTACATCAGATGGTTGAAGAAGAAAAAATGGCTTTGGAAGAATATCTGAAGAACAATGATGAAGATGCACTGAAATTAGTATATCAGGAAGGCTTACTAACTACTGGAGAGACCAAACTGGCCTACAAGAAAGACCAAATGAAGAACAGAATAGAGGCATGGGAAGACAAAGCACTACATGGCCAATACATGAAAAAAATAGCTGGGAAAGCAGATAATAATAAAACCTGGCAATGGCTAAGAGCAGGAAAATTGAAGAAAGAGACCGAGGGACTAATTCTGGCTGCACAAGACCAAGCCTTAAGGACAAATGCATACAAAGTCAAAATTGAGAAGACAGCAACAGACAGTAAGTGCCGCCTATGCAAAGAAGCTGAAGAAACAGTGGACCACTTGGTAAGCTGTTGCAAGAAGATTGCACAAACTGATTACAAGCAGCGGCATGACAAAGTAGCAACAATGGTGCATTGGAAGATCTGCAAAAAATATCATTTGCCTGTAAGCAAAAACTGGTGGGATCATAAAATAGAGAAAGTCATAGAAAATGATAAAATTAAACTGCTCTGGGACTTCAGAATTCAAACAGACAAGCACCTGCAACATAACACCCCAGACTTAACAATTGTCGATAAGAAAGACAAAAAAGTCTGGATAGTGGATGTGGCAGTGCCTGGAGACAGCAGAATAGAAGAGAAAGAACTGGAGAAGATAACAAAATACAAAGACCTACAAATAGAAATAGAAAGACTGTGGCAAAAGCAAGCAAGGGTAGTACCAATAGTCATAGGCTCCTTGGGTGCAATCCCAAAACAACTGGAGCACCACTTGAACACCATTGGCATTGACAAATTCGCTATTAGTCAATTGCAAAAGGCGGCCTTATAGGAACTGCTTCCATCCTGCGACGATATCTGTAATACCATCAAACATCCACATCTGCCTATCCCAGGTCCTGGGTAAGGACTCGATAGGTAGACAAAATGCCAAATCCAGTCTGAACATCTGGCTGACTGTGCGATGATCAATAATAATAATAATAATAATAATAATAATAACTAAATAACTAAAAGCAATGGATAGGCAGACCAGAAAAATAATGACAATGAATCATGCCCTTCATCCACGCAGTGACATTGATAGACTTTATCTACCAAGGCAAATAGGTGGGCGTGGAATGCTACAAGTACATCAGATGGTTGAAGAAGAAAAAATGGCTTTGGAAGAATATCTGAAGAACAATGATGAAGATGCACTG